CCGGTACACGTAATACGCGGCACACAGCACAACAATCCGCCAAAACAGGCAACCCGGCCCAAAATTACCACCGTAGAAGGCAGAAACCCCGAGCGGCAGTGCAGGAGCCCAAGAATTACCCTTAAAACGGCCACAGGAGCTTAAAAAGACCAACTGGACCCCAACTGGTCCGAAGGTAAGTAGTTTCGGACTAGTCCCAAACTGGTTCCCAACTGGTTCCCGGACTGGTCCCCGACTGGGCCCCGACTGGTTACCAACTGGGCCCACAAACTAGTTACCAACTGGTCCCAAAGTGGTAACCAACTGGTCCACTTATACCTCAAGTGGTCCACAAGTCACTTCACTTACAAAGCTTTCGATTTAGTTGACAATAGTCAAACTAATTTTATTTAAAGAAATGGCGTGTCGTCTATTTCCGGTGTAGCAAACGTAGTACATAGGGCGACATCTAGATGTCATCTACCTCGCCCTATTCACTATGCTTTTCAAAGCTTTGCTTTGGTGTCGGACACACAACATTGAAAGTTTCTGGATCCACAACATTGAAAGTTTCTGGATCCACAACATTGAAAGTTTCTGGAACACAACATTGCAAGTTGATAAAAGCGTTGTAATAATAAAATACAGCATATTATTAAACTAAACTCATGTAAATCCGATTTTCAAACCAGGTGGTGGAATGATTCCAGCTATTTTCAAATAAAGCGAAACCTTTTTCAAATTAAATGAAACCTTTTTCAGATTCAATGAAACTTTATTCAAATTAAATGAAACTTTTTTCAAATTAAATGAAACATTCTTAAAAGGAAATTTTATTTCATTTGAATAAAGTTTCATTGAATCTGAAAATGGTTTCATTTAATTTGAAAAAAGTTTCATTTAAACTGAAAGTCCTATCGTAAACCCTGGAAATCTTTTTGCATTCTCAGTCATATTTTTTCTTTATAGCCATTTTAATTTTGAAATTTTTTGCTTGAGTGCTGAACATTAAAATTTCACAAGGAATAACAGTTTAACCCATTCGCTCTCTCACGAAAGCGTCGTGCAAGGGTTCAAATATTCTAGAATATTATTTGCCGAAAAATTTCACAAGAAATAACATTTTAACCCATTCGCTCTCTCACTAAAGGGTCGTTTTGACCCCTTTTTCGGTTTCCGGGTGTTATTCCACCTGCGGCCCTACTGCTGCCTCTTCGAATTTTTATCCATCAGCAAATTTCTGCACTAACTGCATCCGCTGACTTTTTTCCTCTATACCTGGAAAAGTTTATACGAGTAATGCAAGTATTTATTACCTCATTTAAAATTGAATAGCAACTTCATAATGGCACTCGTCCTGCTCATTGGATTTAGTGCAGAGCTGCTTGCTAAAATAAAGCATTTTTGAAACAGAAACATCGTAGTTACTAGAAAGATGTTTCTCCAAAATGCTTGTATTAATTATTTGATGGTAAAGAGTACTTAAAATAATTATTGTAGACAAGGGTATATTGTTGATTAAGATGCCTTCACACGTGTCGATTTTCTAGATTTTTATCGCTCAACCAAAATCGACCGGTGTAAATGGCAATTAAACTGTAAAGTGTAAATATTTTGCTAGTTGATTTTTCAATCGACAGAAATCGACCCATGTAAAGGCAGCTTTAGGTATACACAAAAATAAAGTAGAAGCTTTGTTCATTTAGTAAATTCCCCGCCAGCCACGGCTCACCACTTTCCCCTAAAATTCAACGATTTACAAACACATTCGCAACTTTTTAGTCATCTCACCCACACACTTGCAAATTTTTTGTTCGAACTGTCAAAAAATGTCCCTTTGTTAGAGCTACATACTCGATAAGAATTCGTACTCTAATAAGAATTCTATGCGTTAGAGCGAGCAAGTTAGAAACATCGGAGTTTTGATGACAGTATACATACTGTGAAGAAATGTCACTTTACGAAAATTTTGAAGGTAAGAATACGTATTTAACAATTTTATTTAATTATAATGTAATTTCTTCTTTTCGATTGCAAAACAGCAGCGACTTAGTCACATTCTTAAGGTATGTATTGAGACTTTTTAAATGTTTATAAATTTTAATTGATATTTTTATTTGTTTACAGATTTGGGATTCACCATCAGCACCTTCAACNAAATTTTTGTAAACGACTTAAAATATTTTTTAACTACTAATGTATATCAAAACAAAGGTAAATCGTTTATATTCTTTTGATGATAACATTGTTAAAATCGATTAACTAATTTATAGAAATTTTGCACTTTTGAAAAGATCTATATGTAAGCAGTGGAAAAGTGGTCAAATTTTGCAAAGTTGTAACAAAACTGATTTTTTGTGAACTAGTGTAAATGATTTGCAACTGTTAATATATATCAAAAGAAAGGTAAACCGATTACCTTTCTTTTGATTATAACACCGTTAAAATTGCTTTACGTTTTCATAAAAACTTTGCAACTTTTGTAAACAGCTATATATAAGCAGTGGAAAAGTGGTAAAATTTTGCAAAGTTGTAACAAAACAGATTTTTTGTGAACTAGTGTAAATGATTTGCAACTGTAAATATATATCAAAAGAAAGTTACATCGATTACCTTTCTTTTGATTATAATATTGTTAAAATCGCATAACTTTTTTAAAGAAATTTTGCAACTTTTGAAACCGTCTATATATAAGTCGAAAAAACGCAATCAAATTTTGCAAAGTTGTAATGAAACTGAATTTTTGTGAACCAGTATAAATGATTTGCAACTTTTAATATACATCAAAAGAAAGATAAATCGATTGCCTTTCTTTTGATTATAATATTATTAAAATCGCTTAACTTTCTTATAGAAATTTTCCAACTTTTTAAACATCTATGTGCAAATGAGTAATACTAATAATAAGAAAATAAGCCAGCGCATATGTATGTATGTAAAAAATATATTTATTAATGTTAATTACAAGTTTTATTCATAATATTGATTATTAAGTATGTATATCATGCATTTTGAAAATAAATTTTGCAAAATAAAAATGAAAACATTTTAGGATTTTTTATTTAAAGTTCTAAGGTCATTTTGAATTGGCTGTGAAGAAAATGCAACCCTGAGCCGGCTGAAGGGGGCAATGCTAGACGAGTGTAGCTATATGTTTTCCTTACGAAGTATCTGAATGAGTGCGACAGTGATGCAAGGCTGACACGTACAGGGGGGAAAGTGGTGACAATCTGCACACCGCCCATACAAATGTCACCAGTTTTGTCACCAGTTTTGAAGTGACCGAAACCCGCGGTTTCACCAGATTTTTCACCACTTTTGGCTGGCAGGGTTATTATTGTTAAGAGATAGCATAAAAGAAATTGTTGTATATCTCAAAGGGACATACAGTCAGCCTCAAAAATATGAATATCCTGACGTTTTGACGGTTTTATTTATGTATCTATATTTTCCATACCAAATTTTTCTTATTTTTATACCCGAGCGCACTTGTGCACAAGGGTATATTAATTTTGTTCACATAACGGTTGTTTGTAACAGCCAAAACGAATCGAGATAGATATAGACAAATGTATACATAAATGATCAGNACATAAAAGCTTCATGAATCGAAGCGCCCAACATTGTAAGGCGCTTGTAGTTTTGAAATCATCATTTGTTTACTTTTTTGTATTGGAAATAAAATTTATTTGTCAATTCAATAGAAAATGAATGATTTCGTGCTAAAATTCGTGCAAATTGTATTAAACCACAAGCGTTTATGCAATATTTCGGACCAGAAATATTTGCGGAAGTGCGTAGTTGCGAAAGAACGGCCAGAAAATTTGTTATGTGTATAAAGTGTTTATTAGCTGGTGACTTATGCCCGGCGTGCAAGTGTACAGAAGTCGAGTCGTCATGCATTCGTTTCGGCATGACGAAACGATTACTCTACTTTGATTAGGCGCGTAATGTGCCCAGTGCCTTAGATTTCAATAAGATGCAAATTTGAAATCTCTATAAAACGCCATTGATTTTTGAGATTTTTTTTTGTCAAGGGTGTTACGCATTTTCCTTCATGTATCACATGTACAAAATCTAGTTTTATATGGGTGAAAATGCGCAACACTCTCGACAAAAAAAAAATCCCAAAACTGGCGGTAATTATAAAATTTGTCTAAGAAATTGAATAGAAAAGTTTAGAAATTTTTGGTATTTGTTGCATTTTCCCGAGTTCTATATCGATGGCTGAGTGGAAGATCGACCTATCTCGGCAGCCAGTTCGAAAACATTCTATCTCAAAAAACTTTTCAAAAACGCCCTATTTCAGAATTCGTTTCAAAAACGCCCTATCTCAGCTGCCGATTCAAAAACGCCCTATAACAGCATATTTCAATACATTCTGAAGTAAGATAGGGCGTTTTTGAACCGAATTTTCTAATTGCATAGTTTTCTAAATTGCATAATTTTATCACAGCCAAGCTAAAGCTTAGGCCTCATTTGCTCTAATGCATTAACACTAAGCCTCCGTAATTAATTTTTAATCTGACTTATTTGAATTAGACACGACAAAGCATTTTATTAATATCTTGTAATTATCATGTAATCCTCGTTTCATTTACTGCAAACTATTAACTAGATAAGGTATTATTTAACTGTTAAATAACTGTGGTTTTGAACTACAAAAAAAGGTGTGCATACAGCCTATTGTAGCTTCTTGGAACTCTGATAGTTATTACGGGCAGGGGGTATTTATGAATTTTTTACTTAAACGTACAGCGTAGTTGATGCTAATAGCTTTATAGTAAAAGTAGCAAAAAATAATCCGCATTTTCAATGTCAGGAAAATCCCCTTCACCAAATAAACGAATATTCAGACACAGCTCTGCTGCAATCGAATTTTCAATCATTTTTTTGAAAACTCGAAAAGAAAAGCAACAACAATTTTTTTTACAAATTCCAACAAACATTCAATATAAAAAATATTTATATACATAATTTTTTATAAAATATAATACTTTAACAAAATTCATTAGAAATGGCTGCAATGATACCAACCGCACGTTACCGGCCAGTGGTACGCATTGGCAATTGGTTTGAGGACATTTGTCTGGAGCAGGTGAGCAGTGACAACAGAACTTGCAACACAAAAAAAAAACAATCCACGCTCAAACTCGTTTCACGCCAACAGGAAAAGGTGCAAACTTTTAAGAATTTACGCGACCGCGGCGAACTGCTTGTGGAGAAGACACGCCGACTATTCGACAATTTTCACAAAGCCATCGAATTGGAGGCGCCCAAAGAGAATGTCCACTTTGGCGCCATAGTTCAGTTGATGCCAATGAAAATGAATATTTGCGATGAACGTGTGAAGGCACAACCTGCTTTGTCGGTCATCATCAATGAACGCGTCGTGCGGCATAGTCAAAATATCAATGAAGAATGTGAAATAACAATTGCGCCCTCAGTGACGCCTTGTGTGCGTAATTCTTTTCGTATCGTGAGCGGTGATGAGAAAGATCGCACAAATGAGGTTATCAAATATGGACAACAATTTCGTTTGGAATGTGTGGAGAGTCAAGATGATGTACTACTGCTATATAGTGCGGCGAAATCGGCCGATCTAAAGAGTATGATCCATACGACGTTTGATTCGAGGAAATGTGGTGAAATCAATTTGCCCTTGGGTCTATGTAAGAAAAGCGTGAGTTGTATGTTGGTGAATTAGAAATGGACATTTTTAATTTTAGTGTTTTTAACGTCTTCCAGAATTGTGGTCCCGGCAAGGAAATACCCTCGGCATATACTAAATGGTTCTGCACCCATATTGATCCCAAGAAACGTTTTGAATCGTACGGCACACCAGCGCCGGTGAGTATCACTATATGTATAGCCCACACACCAAACAATTTTAACTGATTAATTTTTATATTTTACAGAGCAATGCAGCTTTGGTTATCACACACGTACCAACAAATAAAAATCTTGCAGCAGAAAACGTTGTCGTCCAAACACTTTTCGGACCGGTGAGTATTTAATAAACATCTGCTTCTCTGAACACTATACCATAGAACCGTGGTACCCACAAAAAATCATGCTGGCTCGTTATGTTGTTGTTGTTGTAGCGGCTAATAAACCCCGCTCGGGTCGGCTTGTCCATCAACGTTGTCGTCAGACTCAGCGAAAGGGAGGCCCAGAAAGTGTCCAACTTCCACCGCTCCTGCGCGTAGGGCCAAGGGCGCTAGCTGGGTGGGGTTTTAGGGGCATGCGAAGAGGTGCCGTCAGTCACGTGGTGACTTCCGCATATCGGATATTCATTGGGTACACTAGGTTCACTCTACTCACGTACGAGCTTAGTCTGGTGCAGTAGCCAGAGCGAAGTAGGGCTATTGTGGTGCGAGTCTCCCGAGGCATTGAAAGCTCTGTCCCGTCCATGTCTGCTGGTTGTGTACCTAAAACGACATTCACAAATCGGGAGTCGAGACCGACTCCCTGTCAATGCCGTTTATGGCCTGTCGGTATGCAGTCGGGTACACAGGTTGTTTTATGAGCCTCTGGACTTCGTCCGTGCCCATGTCTGTGCCACCCTACTAGGAACTGCTTGCGGAGCATTGTTTATGCTCCTTGATGGGAAGCATCTGGGCTTCGTGGCATCGTAGTTAGGTTGCCTTGAGGCGACATCAAAAGGCATCCAATCGCGGTCTGGAATGCCATGTGAGACTCCCGGTTTAAGTTCCCTCGGTGTGCTGGTTTTGTCTCTGAAAATACTGACTTGGCATTTTTTTACTTTTAGTATACCACTTACGGAGAAGCCATTGCACTCTGAAATAACCTGCCGGAATGGTTCACCAAATTCCTTTAGTCTCACTTTTGCAAGGGCAGGGCACTCTGCGAGAAAGTGTTCTACTCCCTTCTTTGAGCCTCAATCCTTCTTCTACAAGATGCGATCTAACCGCGCAAGAGAAGAATACCTAATTGCCGCTGATCTGAAAATCTGACCTGAAAAAATATTCATTCGCGATTTCGCAGCTGTATGGTTTTTTATGTATTTTAACGCCAGCTTAAGCGCATACGATTCCGCCTGGAAAATTCCTGCGTGATCCGTTAGGCAAAATGATAGCTTCAGATTGAGTTGCTCAATGAAAATCTTTGATCCATCCATAAGGCAGCTAATGTATCCACGACACCCACTCACCGAGTCCAGTCACTGCATCTTTAGAATTTTGTGTGAAGTTTGTTGCTGGTCCAGGTCTTTGGTTTTATGTAGTCATTAGGTAGCGCTTTTACTTCAGATGGGACTCTATTTAGGATGGTACTTTGTCCAAATGGATTTTCTTTCCAATAACCTAAGGCTCCTAATCTTACTGCACTAGTAACTTTATTTTCACTAAAATTTAGCAGAACATTCAGGACCATTGGAAGCTTATTTCTGGTGTCCGCTAAGTTTTTTACGGCGTAATCCTTAGTTAGTGCTGACACCATACCCGATGCTCCATAAGAAAGTGTGTTTTCCATGTACATCCAGTGTATAGTCGTTGGCTTAAAATGCCATTTGTTAACAATTTGCTGAAATAGGGCGTTCTTATAGAGCGTAATTCAACCGTTTGAGATGTCCATTTAGGAGGATGCCCATTTAAAACAAGCATATTTGTCAATGATTTTTTTGTACTGCAAAATTTTTCAGGAGTTCCTCGTTTCGGTACAAAACTACAAGGACATGTACAACCGCGAGCGTTGGCAAAACATTTGGATGATATGCAACGGTCAGAGTGAAGGGAAGCGATAAAAATACAGCCATTCGGATCAATGAACGCTACTGCCGCAAAAAATTCATTTGTTTAGCACGAAGAAAATGTCATTTTGGAAATACAATAAATTTATATAAAATACAATTTAAAAATAAACAAAAATAAAAACCCAAAAAATATTTGCAAATCGGACGTCCAAGTGACAGACAGCGCTTCTTTTGCGAAATCCCCACTTCCCAGTAGCTGCCGTAAGCCTTCAAACAAGATAACGGTGGCACAGCACGACTTCCAGATATACTTCCATATGTAGATATACGAAGACAATAAGCAAATATTTGCACAGTGACAAATTGAAGTCAACGCCTTTGCTGCCAAACCGCTGTTCAAGGTATGCGGGAAGTCCTACAAATATTGCCGAAATAGCAAGCTTTTTCAAATCTCATTCGACCTAGCGAAGTTCTTGGCAGTCGTTGACCCTGCAATTGTTGGTGCTGTGCGAAATTTGTGACCTAGTTCGCGCACAGTTGGACGCTGACTTCAAGTCGCTACACTTGGCCCACTCGTGGCAAGGTAAGCACACAAACACTACTGACAGAGCTAAAACCAACAAAGCTGTTTCTAATGCTCGCTCCAACTTGCTCGTTAGAGGACTGCAACTATATAAGGCACCTCCAAATTCTTTTTGTACGCAGTTTACTTAAACTTTTTGACAGGTGTATTTTTTTTTTGTGCGATTTAAAAATTTCCCAATTTAGTAGTAATGCTTCCGCTACTCATCTTAGCCTGCTTCAGCGCTTTCGTCTTTGAACCCGCCGCTGGCGGCTTACGCATTATTGGCGGTCAGTATGCATTGTCCGGTCAGTTTCCTCACCAGGTTTCGCTACAGCTACGCGGTCGTCATCATTGCGGTGGTTCGCTCATATCGCCAAGCTGGATTATCACGGCGGCGCATTGCACCTACGGACAGAATCCCTCACAAATCCGCGCTGTTGTCGGCACCACGGATCTGCTTGCCGGCGATGGAAAATCATTCAACATTGCCAATATTATCATTCATCCACAATATAATCCAAAAACGCAGGATTACGATTTGTCACTCATCCAGTTGACCGAGTTAGTGCCGTTAGATGATAATATTGGCACAATAGCATTGGCTGATATGGAGACAAATCACGCAGCCGACACAGTGGCAACCATCAGCGGATTTGGCGCGATTAATGGCAATCTCGAGATGCCCACTCGGTTGAAGTATGCTGAAGTACAGTTGTGGAGTCGGGACTTCTGCAACCCACAGAATATTCCCGGCATTACAGATCGCATGGTTTGTGCCGGCCATCCTAGTGGACAGGTGGGTGCCTGCCAAGGCGACTCTGGCGGTCCGCTTACCGTTGACAATAAGCTCTTTGGCGTGGTTTCGTGGGGTTTCGGTTGTGGTGCGCGTGGCAAACCGGCCATGTATACCTATATAGGGGCGCTGCGCTCATGGATTAAACAGAACTCTGGCGTTTGATAGGAATGCAAGTAAAGTGGGGCTAATGGAAGCCCTTGACGTTGATGAACAAATGAAGTATTAGAATTTTATGCATGAATAAAGTTAACTGTTGAAATATTTGCTTAGTGGTGTTGATTTTGTTTTGAAGTCCTAATTTGCAAAAGAGACAAAAAATAAATAAGTTTTCTGAGGTCCTTCAGCGCTCGTTTCTTTAATCCTTTTTATTCGGAATGGTCAGAGTTTGAAGGTCTTCTACTTCAGCTTCCCTCAAAAGGGGAACATTTACACGAGATAATAGGGGAGCAGCAGATATAAGACCTGACCTCAGACAAATAGAGCTTTGGTGGGGGAAAACTGGGGCTTGCATAGCCGACTGTCTTGGCAATGAGAATACACCAACCGCTGAACCAGATCGACCATACCAATATGGTCTATTATAGACTGTCCATTCATTGAGAATTAAATAACACCTTCTTACCCCTTGAATTCCTTCGTCGGACCCCAACGCCACCCACCGCAGACGAAGAGCTCGGGTTGGTTTTTGAGGTTCGCGATACTTTGACAGAACTCCATTCTGCATATTGTAGCAGGTTAAACTGTTCAACCTAATTTGAATAAGATGCTTCGACGACAACAGTCACCTCTCCCTCTCTTACGGCCCAACCCCCCGGATCTGGCTTTCCTGAGTCTGCCTTTAGATGAGAATGAAGACGATACGTAGTCGATGCACTGGTTTAGAGAGTTTAGTAAGCTGCTAAATATAACAAAGAAAACGGTGAAAGTTTTCTTTCGATTGTCCTTTTAGTTTTTAAGAAACTTTCCGCATATTAAGAAAACGGCGGAAATCAGTTTGGAAAAGCCGAGGCAAGCAATCTAGTGACAACTTTATTGAGAATATTTTCAATTCACAGATTTCTCAAATACCTTGCGTTTGACACCCATAATGTCATAATTAGTTTATCCTATTTTATGTCTATAATTAAATAACATTTTTCTAACAGATGACAACCCTAATAAAAAATATGTAAGCCTTCTCTCTCTCTTTAGTTTGATATTGAAATGTGGGAACAAATATGAATACTGAAATCAAGAGGACACTGCCGCGAGCCAATTTGCCCCACAAACAGCACCTGATGACAAAAGAGAAGGGCCCATTGAGGCATACAAAAAGCTCAGTGGAGCTGGTAAAAAGAGGTACGCATACTTGCTTAAGAAAAAGCTTAGCAAGGAAGAAGCGTATGCTAAAGCGTAGCTTCCAAGAACCAAAGGCCAAATCGAGGGGGAAAAGGCGCCGAAAAAGGACCGTTCAGAGGAAGGCACTCTGCGTGAATCTGGCCCCAAAAAGAGGCCGAAGCACGATGAACCATCGTCATTGCAGCTGCTGCACCACATAAGTTACAGCTCACTGTCACATTTAAAGATGTTGGGTGAAGATGGCAGTCCTTTCCAGGGCCTACCCTCGAAAGGTCCTAACAATAGAACAGTTGGACTCCAACCAAACTGTCCTTCTGGACAAAATTATGGCTAATAAGGACACGTCGATAAAACCAGTCTTGTTGGGTTCTGTTTACAAGGCCGGATATATTGTACTGCACTGTAAGGAGAACACGACCATGTTCACCGTGATTATCTGGGTAAGTGCTGCACTGTCGGCTGCGGAGTAATTAAAAATTTCTCATTCCAGGGTCGCGGTGGGGTAACAGTGGGACAGTGGACAAATCTACACCACGCTAAAGCAGCAACGGCGGAACTTACATGAGATTTGCCGGTGAAAATATCCACATAGAGCTCTTACAAGAGCTCTGGATAAACAATGGCCGACAAAACATCTACCAAACCAAGGGCAGCGATAATCATGGACACAAGCAGTAAGTTCCCGCCTTTCTATGACTTTACAGTTGGCAACACTGTCAAATTACTGGTGGAAGTGGAACTTAACGGGCGTAAGACGGAGTTCGTGATCGCCTTAGCTAACTTCCCAGCCGAAACAGATGACGCACCAACATATCTCGCAAAGAAACTAGTGGAGTACTGCAAAAACCACAGGAAAGTTCTTATCATCGGCTTTGATGCCAATGCCCACAGCATAACATGGGCCAGCACAAATACAAACACAAGAGCTGAGTCACTCATAGAATTTTTATTAACAAGTAACACAGCAGTACCTAATAAGGGAAACAAGCCAACCTTTATAAATGCTATTCGTCAAGTGTTTTTAGACCTTACATTTGTCTCTGCAAACNTTCTATCGCAGAGAGATTCACGCTATACCGAAATACTGACTGGGACAGGTATGATTTAAATATTTCAGACAAAACTGGGCACATTGACCAGGCAAATATCTAAAAAAGTGTATTTGGATATAGTAGTTGCAGACCTGACTGAAAGTAGCATGCCCTCATATAACGAACGCTGTCCACAGAAGGTAAAATTCCTCAACAAAGAGGGTACCTTGGTGGAACTCCAAACTAGAGAAACCGAGTAAAACGACCAGGACTGAGTTCAACCAGGCCAAGAGGACGAACACCTGCTATGACAATAAAAAGTCTCTCACACAATACAACAAAGAACTACGGAAATCCAAGGCAAATTCTTGGAAGAATTTATGTGAGGACCTTAGGGCCATTCTAGGATCCAAAAGTCTTTCTCTAAGGGCAAATCCGCCCTTAGAGGAACTCCAAAGGGATCGGATGGGTGCCCAACAAACACGTTTAGGGAAACCATAGAGCTCCTTCTGAGGATTCGCTTCCCTGACTGTAGGCTAATAATGCAGAGGCCAAATACGCACAGTATGGTAACCACATACCAGAGACGAGCCTTTGGACCAGTAATTAAAAAAGTAATCAACTTTTAAAAAGTAGACTGTAATTTAATTTTAATTTAATTTAATTTAATTTTAATTTAATTTAATTTTTGTTTAATTTAGTTAGTTTTTACGCGGTAACGAAAACGGTACAAGTTTTATTTACACATGTTCTATGTAGATTTGAATTAATTGTTTATCCCACTGTTTGCACTTTCAGCGCCACTGCAGGTTTGTGGGCCACTGTGCTATTGCCAGACTCCAATTTTGAAATGCTCTCAGCGCCATCTGCCGTTACGTCGCAATAACAACGCGCAGGGTGACTTGGATAAATACACATTTTATTATTACTGGCTACTACTACTTACTATTTTTTTTTTAATAAATTTTTTTTTTTGATTTTTGATGATATATATCGTTGCCTTAATATAGAAAGGCCCTATCTGACATCGTCGCTGATTTACAAAAAGTCGTAACTAACTAAAAATCGAAAATTTACGTTTTAATTGATTATGATGCATTTGATCGAATTATGTGGCCTCACATCGTTTTATGCAATAAAAGATTTTAGTTAGTTACGGCTTTGTGCATTTCAGCGACGATGTGAGATAGGGCCTTTCTATATTAAGGCAACGATATCATAAATATGTATGAACCCTGCTAAAAGTGGGACTAAATGAAGGCCTATGCTCCCTTGTAACCAACATTAGTGACCGAAACGGTCCAAACAGACGGGGAAAAAATTTTTACATTAATATTGCGGTGTCATTGGACTTGAGTGATAGCACCGTTGCATAACA